AGTCTACACAGCGGTCCAAAAGCCACACTTCTTTGCCCCCCCCCCCCCCCCCCCCCGCCCGCCCACCAGGCGAAAGCTTGGGTGCAAGAAGATGAGATCCCTATCATTAGGTATGAGATCTATCTTAGCTTAGTAGTTTCATGCCCCAGGGAGCCAAGATCTCATGTAAATCTCCCAGATCAGCAGCGTCCATGGCCTCCACGAGGAATATGCACAAGTACGAGAGTCATCCAATTCAGGGATTCCCAAAAGCTGTAGATCCTCATCGAGTATTTATAAATCTCTGAGTTCAGATGTGATTTCCTAATCAGGAGTCCCTTTTACCATAATCAATTTTGCACAACTTATATTCCATCTATATCAAGTGTCAAGGGAAACAGATCTCAAAAGTTAGCCCGAGGTAAAATTTGCTCATGCAGAAGGTGACAGGGTTTTGAAAACCCTTCAGAATACAAATTCCAACTTTTACGCTCAGGATTTTAACAGGATTAATGGCTTAGCTTGTTTAGAGGCAGTTGCTCAACTTGACGTTAATTCAAGGTTTTATTCATCAAGCTGTATTCATCCATTTATTCAAATGATTCAATTACTAAGTATTGAACTCCTACTCTGAGCCAGGTCCTAAGTGCATGAATCAGCCCCGTTTTTTTAATTTATTTTTTTTATTGCTTTCAGGCCAAATATCTGAACGTTGAAATGATTGTATAGGTATGACATGATAATAATGAACACAAGTAGTTGAAATACAGAGTGACAAGTGCTGCAACTATTTTATACAACCGTCCTCCCCAGTCAAACATGTGCTCTCTCGAAGGGCAAGAGTCATGTTTTTCTTCTTTGTTTCCTCAGTGGCATTTTGGTGCCTGACCCATAATTGTGCTTAGCGTTCATTGATCAAATGAGTTATCTCAGTGAATCTTAGGTAGAAGGGCAATTTGATTAAAACCTAGTGACATTTGCTCATGTACTGAAATAAAAGTAACTGGTGGAATTTCAGAGTGGCCTGGCTTCCAGGATTCTTTCTAATGGTGGCTGTCCATGGCATGTCCACGACACCCATGTTCTGTAATTTTGTTGAGCAAATCCGCAAAGTGACATAGGGACTGACATTATCAGCAGTGTAACATGACAGTTGATGTTAAAGGCTAGGGAGCGATCACAGCCCTGGTACAAATCTTTGCTCTACCACTTACATCCTGCATGACCTTGGGCAAGTCATCTGGTCTCTCTAACCCTCAATGTTCACCTATAAATGGGAAAAACACATTTATTGGTGTTGTTACAAGGATTAAATAAGATTTTATATATATATACACATACATAAATACATATAGCACCTGGCACATTTCAGTGCATAAGAAAAGAAAGCTATTTACTTAACAAATCTCTCTTGAATTTGGTGGTACCAGAATCAAAAGGAATCAAAAATAATAATAGCCCACGAACAGACCACAAAAAATATCCAACTATGTTTTGTATTAAATGCACATGCAAAGTGTTTATATCATTGTAATGTTTGTGACTTATTTTTGTCTTTGGCAGACTGAAGGATTTAAATACCCCAGGCCTTCTTCAGTTCCACCTTCCCCTTCAGGGTCTCAGGTCTCTAGTCCTCAAGGCAGTGATGTGGAAGACGAAGAGGATGGGCGATACAATGAGGAAGAGGAAGCTGAAAGGGATCGGTTAAATATCAAGTCGCCATTTTCTCTGGGCCGTGTTCCTCGTGGGAATAAAAAGCTGCATGATGAATACAAGAACTGAATTCCACGCTTGTTGAGCAGAGCTAATGTAGTAAGAACAGAGTAAGAGTGATTATCTAAAGAAATGAAAATGCTACAAATTCCATTTTCTTCTTTTAAGTATTACAACGGGATTTATTCTCTGCCTACGAAGGGGAGAAGATTAAGTGAGTGGCAATTTGGAATGTCTAATAAAATCCAAGTTATTTTCCCCTACTCCTTTTCCCCAGTAAATTTAGGCACGAGGAAGAATGTCCATTAAAGGAGGAAGACCAGAAATGGTTTTAAAATATTAGCTTAAGCAATAAGAATTTTCATTTGCTAGTGTTTATTTTTAAATTATCATCACCATAATCCTGTGCTTAGTATTTATACAGCTGCCATATCTACCAAACAAGTCTCCCATTTTCCCTGCAAAGGATCCTGATCTGAGCCCTGAACGTGCACTACGTACATATTTTAAATAATTCTGTCTTCAATGATTATGTTCATGTTTCACATGATTCAGAACCATGAATTTCTATCTAGCTTTGCACACAATCAAAATCCATAAGAAAAAAAATCTATCTTAAATCCAGATCCTGATACATATTAAGCATATTTACAAGGTCACTTCTCAACTTAATGATGGGAAGATGTTACCATCTGCACTATACCATCTGACTGCAACAAAGTACAAATGAAAGAGCTACATCGAAATTCACAGACCTGTAAACACCTGGTTTTGAGGGGCAGGTTTCTGCCCTGCACTCGCTTCTCCATTCAGACAGCTGCTGCCACTGGACTCCAGCCCCTTGCTCCAGTCCTTTCTTCATCCTTCCCCAAGACTGACGAAGCCGGGTGAGGAGCAACAGATAAAGATCCTTAGTAGATGACTCTGTTTCTAGCACAGTGCCTTATACACAGTAGCTGCACAAATGAATGGTCTCACTGGGAGAAATATAGTTACAAAAAAAGGATGTTTTTAAAGAATGTATATTTGCATAAGTTGGAGTACAGGAACTATAGAAAATAGTTAATGTGTGCCTGACCAGCTGACCGAAGACTTTTATGCATTGTCCCACCCTGTCTTCCATGTTGAGAGTTAGGGTGAACAGAGCTGGTTTTACATATACTGATGAGAAGATAAAATGTTACAAGTGTTCTGCTAATAGTTTCCCAGCGCACAAGGAGGACTCAGGAGAGGGACTGGTCAAAGGCACTTGGGGAGGTCCAAAGGGTGAGGATACACTTCTGTGAAGTCACGTGGGGGATACAAGTGCTGGCTTCACATGGTGATTATAAGGATCAGATCATATTAGAAATAAACTCATCTTTTTTTAAAAGATTTTATTTATTTATTTGAGAGAGAGAGAATGAGAGAGAGAGCACATGAGAGGGGTTAGGGTCAGAGGGAGCCTGATGCAGGACTCGATGCAGGGACTCCAGGATCATGACCAGAGCCGAAGGCAGTTGCTTAACCAACTGAGCCACCGAGGCGCCCTAGAAATAAGCTCTTACTAAAGGAATTCATAGTCCAGTAGGATGGGACCAACTGGTTACATTCCCAACTTCCCTTTTTCCTGAGGCTGAAGCAAAACAATGTAACTCAAGGTGGATAGGATACAGACTTTCATTTCTCATAACCAGATAAAGTGGAAATGTTAGTTGGAGGCTGATTTTTTTTTAAGATTTTATTTATTTATTCATGAGAGACAGAGAGAGAGAGAGAGGCAGAGGGAGAAGCAGGCTCCCAAGGAGCAGGGAGCCCGATGTGGGATTTGATTCCAGGACCCCGGGATCACGACCTGAGCCGAAGGCAGACGCCCAACCATCTGAGCCACCCAGGCGCCCAGTTGGAGGCTGATTTTAACAGGCAGGGGCCTCTGCCTTCTCTCCTCTCTTGGGGTCATAATGGTGCTGTCGGGGAAGAGAAGGTATCCACTGGGGAAACCCAGGGAAACAAAGAGTGATTGAGAGCCCAAGCTGGAAGGCAGATAGCCACAGGGGAGGAAGGATTCCCACCCAAAGAGGGGAAGGCTCCAGGAGCTGTGCTCGAAGGGGCTGCAAAGTCCCACCTGAGGTAGCGATACTCAAGTATGTGGGTTTGCCTGGCAGGGGGGTATTTCCCAGTTTTAAAATACAAGCCATACAGTGTGAACATCTTTTGTTCATTTCAATTTTGAAAAAGAAATAAAGAGAATTGCAAAGATATCCCAAGAGAGACAGAATGTTACAGCAGCCAGGCAAAGGGGACTGTATGCAACTACTATGCTTTTTTTGTTGTTGCTGTTGTTTTAGGATTTTTTTTTTATTTGAGAAAGGGGAGAGAGAGAAAGAATAAGTGGGGGGAGGGGCAGAGGGAGAGGGAGAAGCAGACTCCCCGCTGAGCAGGGAGCCAGATACGGGACTCAATTACAGGACCTGAGATCATGACCTGAGTCGAAGGCAGATGCTTAACCAACTGAGCCACCCAGGCGGCCTGCAACTACTATGTTAATCAGCACATCTGTATGGCAGAACAACATTCAAGGAATTCAAGCACCTATAATACTTGGTATTATATACAATACTAATAGTCTTCCAATATGATACTGAATGATTTTAATAGTTGTTGGTCACTTAAAAGGTTTTTAAAAACTCTGTTTTAGTGTGAAAGACTTGAGATTGTTCTATTTAGTTGTGGGAAGAATTGTTTCATGTGTTGGGGTTTTAAAACAGTCTTGGAATAAGCATAAGGTTTGAATAGCCAGTATGTACACCTCTATGTCAGAGGAGTAAAATCTCAACAAATGGGACATATGCACTATCTAGAAAATCCACTTAAATCAAATCATAATAAATGACAAGTGCCTATTATGATACCACATATTTTTTAATGCTAGCATATTATTTTTTGGAAGAGATCAGTGTGACAATTACTTGAATATAGTTTCATTATTCAATTATGATACAAGATACAGACAAATCTTATAAGCAGGGTTCTGACTTCATAACACAGTGAAATTGTAACTCCTAAGTACCAATACATTCACATAAAGATATCCTTTAGCTACTGAATAATGGCTATATACTGATGACAGTAAGAATTAACAATACTTTCCACTTGTGACATTTATCAGTAACAACTCTCAACTACTTAGGTCAAAAAAATTAACATGTTGATCATATTGTAACTCCGAATAAATAGGTTATTATGCCCACTGTGGATGAGTGTGTGTGTGTGTGTGTGTGTGTGTGTGTGTGTGTGTGTATTTTTTCAGATAGTCTTAAAAGTCTTCAGAAGGAGCAGATGAGGCATATCACCGAGTACTGATGTTATCAGGGCGCCTTTATCTAACGTTTTAATGTATAATAAAGCCTAGAGCTCTAGTCAGTTAGAGTAAGCAGAGTCTTTGAGTCTGTTTAGCTGTGGAACATGAGTTGCCTCTGAAAAACTGGTTTGTTCCTTTTGTACAATGTACACAGGAGCAGAGTGTCTCCATCTGCTTATTTACCAGTAACCCCCTGAATTCAGGGACATCCCCAAAGAGCACAAAGGGGAGCGCCCCACTAAGGAACCTTCTACCAGCCTCACAGATCCGCCCTCTCCCCCCTTCAGCAACTACAGTGAAGTGTTCTTATCACGGGCTTCTTCCCAGTCACCTCCCTCCTTCTTCCCTTCTTAACGACTTCCATCTCCAAGATGAACTACTCAGAGAACACACTCTGCTCTTTCCCATCCTGCCATGCTTCTCCCCTCACCCCCCATGGAGATGGGAAAAAGGCAGAAAAGGAGAGGGAGATTCACTGCTGAGTGCAAGACAATGCAAGGGGTAAAGGAATGAAAAAGCCAACAACTAAAACTCACTAGATTAAGATGGATACTTGTTATAACAAATAGAAAGCACACTCTAAAGAGTCTCTAGCCTTATAATTACGAATGGGAGTAAGACACAAGGTGACCTAAACAGGACCTGAAGCAATGAAAGAAGGCCATGGTGTCCCCAGCTAAGAACCCTATATTACCTTTACTTCTGGAAAGAATAAAATTGGTTATGCATGTTCCTAACATTACAACGGAAGTAAAAAGCGTCCAAGGGCTTTATTTACATGCTTTATGTTTTCAGCAGGAATGGAACTGTATTCGAATGTGAGTTGGTCTATTTTCACCAGTTTAGTAGACTGTCTTCTAGGACTCTGGTTTGATCAAAGTTTTCTTCTCCAGCTGTAAGAAAAAAAAAGGTGCATAAAATAAACACACTTCTCTGCATTTTAAAAGGGGAAAAGATAAGATGAAGAGAACTTCAAGAAATAAACATTTAGTTTCCTAAATTATGTTAACTACTGCACTTTGCTACTGAGAATCCAAAAAAGTGTGCTTCGATTGATTTGGTTTAAAAATCTTCCTCCTCAGCTCAAGATACATAGGGGAACTCACATTTCACATCTGACTCTCCAGAATGAATAAAACTATAACGTGGTATGTTTGGTAGAAATCTGAAAAGGCCATATTGTCTTGCTCTAAGTGTGTCTCATCATATCTTAAATATCCACCATTAGAACCGTTCAGTTGCATCAAGGTACTGCCTCCATGTTTCCTGTTAACAATGCATGTTACTTGGGAAAGCTGACACTGGAACACTTTTGCACATATTCTCTTATTAGCTGAGCTAGACTAGGCCTGGGGAACAAATGAGACAAAAGGAAGGGATACTTGTTAGCTGCATGGGATTGGAAAACTTTAGAGCATGAGGTATCACTTCCAGGACAAAGTGGCTAAGGAGTCAGATGATAGCAGGTTCTTGGGACTGTAACAATGGGTAGAAGAGCTAAAACCTACCAAAGGTAGGGAGAGGGAGTTGCCGGAGGAAAATGCCTCTCCTAACTTTCTCTAAGGTTATCTCTAGATAAAACCACATTCCTTTAGCTAGTTACAATATAATTTGAATGTCTGAGTTACATTTTAACCTGAATTACTAGCACATTTTAGAATATGACAGATGATGGGTTGCTTTTTAAAGAAAAAAAAAAAACTCAATAAGAAGGGCATCCTTGTACATTGGTCACTAAAATAAAAACACACTATATAAAATAAGAGCCTACCAAATAATACTTAGGGACTTTAGAATGAAAATGTTAAAGGTGGCTAGTAATGAATATATCATATGGAAATTAAATACTTTTCCATCAATTTAAACTAGTAAGATACTGTTTCCTTATTTCATCATCAGAAACAAGCTACTCTGGAAACTTCAATGATTAAAAAATTACATTTATTTTCCACAAAAAGACTTGAAATTGGGACCTATAATCACACACTCTTCCCTAAAGTTTCTTTTTTTTTTAATTTAAATTTTAATTAGTTAACATATAGTGCAATATTGGTTTTCTGGAGCCTTCCCTAAAGTGGCTAATGAAAATCCTTCTTCCCCTCTTTAAAATTAGCTCCTCCCTTTCCATTCTAGCTCACCTTTTTTTTTTTTTTTCTTTCCTTTCTGGCTCCACACATCTTCCCAGCAACCAAATCTAAAACTTCTCTTTCGATCCAACTTCACCAGCACTCTCCTCCTACTCATTTCAACAAACAGTAGGGGTGCCAAGTGTTGAATTTAGAAAATATCACCTTGGCTGTAGCATCCTCCACCCATTACCAACTATTTCTCACCTTTTCATTGCAAGAGTTCTGAGAGCCATGCTGGCTAGTACTCGCTTTCTTCTTGTCCCAAATTCCCTCTCAACAAGGCTTCAGAAGGGGCATGGCAGGAGCAAATAGTATCACCGAGCAGGAGCTGAGCGGAAATCCTGTGAACTGCTGTTCAATGACCCCTCAAAGCCAACACGATCTTCCTTTCCTGCTGATTTCTGTTCTCTCATTAACCATTCTGCTACATTTGATGCTTTAATCACGCCTTTCTTAAAACTTTCCACCCTTGATTACTGGATATGCTGTTATTCTGGTTCTCCTCTTACATTGCTGCTTTCTCCTTGAAATGTCCCTTCACTGATAGGACTGTCTTCCCTTTCCCTCTGTCTCTAGGTATTCTCTAAGGTGAATCCTTTATCATCCGCCTTTCTCCTGCTATATCTGAGGCCTAGAAGAGACTTCCATTTTCACAATTTCAGCCTTAATTAACTGGCTCTGAATTTCCAGTTGTTCCCAAATCTGACTGATCATCAGAATCATTTGGGGGAACTTCTTAAGGATACAGATTCTGAGGCTCATTCAACTTTCACAGAATCAGAATTTCTGGGTCTAAGGCTGAGAAATCTGTATTTTGAGCAAGCTCTCCAGTTAACTCGGATGGAACCCGTCCATAGATGGATAGTTGAGAACCACTGACCTACACACTTTTACTCACTGGACCATTTCTGTTATCTCAAAATGAACCTTAATTATATCCACAGAAATGTTCACTCATCACCAGCATCACCATTTCAAAATGTGCTTGACTCTGGATTTCCTTTTATTCCCTTCAGCAAATAGCTATCCATGTTATTTATTCTTCCCTCCAGGATCCCTCAGAGTTGAGCCTCCCATCGATTCCCACTGACTAACTGTACATCATCTCCTCACTCCTGTGGTTTCCTGTCATGTTCCTTGGCTTCTCCCTAATTCCCCTCCATGGGTCTTTCCTCTTGGACACAATGCCTTTGAGAGCTGGCATGGCATAATGAAGAGCGCTGCAGAGTCACGTGGACCTGAGTTAAAATCCCAACATCACTTCTTACCAACAGCGTGACCTTAGGAAAGTAAATACACCTCATGAAGGTTCAGTTTTCTGGGCTAGAAAAATGCACATTCATATCTGACCTTCCTATATTGTAGCTATTGTTACAGTTCTTAATGTTACTCTCTGTGCCACGATCAGATCCATCCTCCTTCACCATGTCATCGCTCTGCTGCCAATCCAGAGGGCATCTTACTGATTCTCAAGAGTAAATTACCTTCATTCTTCATTCCAGTTCCAGTAGGTACCTGCTATGTAATAGTGGACAAGCTACTTCATTTTTCTGTGCCTCTGTTTCCTCGCCTGGGGTGTGGATAATACTGTGCTCACCTCCCAGGGTCACTACAAGGGTTAAATGTATTAATGCATATCACATGCTGAGAACAGTGCCTGACCCCCTGTATTGTGTAAGCCCTCAACAACTATTAGCTCCAGGTAGTAGTAGTGATTATAACAGGTAATCATAGCCCTAGCTCTAACATAACCATGCCTCCTGCGTTTTGCTATTCCACTGACTGCTCGCCCTATCTTTTTTTTTTTTTTTAGAGATTTTATTTATTTATTTGAGAGAGAGCGCCCACGAAAGCACAAGTGGGGGGAGGGGCAGAGGGAGAAGCAGACTCCCTGCTGAGCAGGGCTGATCCCAGGGACCCCTGGATCATGACCTAAGCTGAAGGCAGACGCTTAACTGACTGAGCCACCCAGGTGCTCCTCACCCTATCTTTTTGCTACAAAGGTCATTCTCATTCCTGCTTCCCCTAATCTACTTTCTTGTCTGCCTTCCAGCAGCCGGCTCCTCGCAGGCATAAGTGCATATAATCCCCTCTCCCCACCCACAGCTGCCCTGGCCTTGCTCTGAATTCAGAGGACCCCCCAATGCCACTGTCTTGCATTTGCTTCTCATCGGTATCTTTTTCACAAGAAAACCATAAGCCTGAAGCCAGAAAGTACCCTTTGCTCTCTTCTCCCTGCATGGCCCCTTCAATACTAGGCACCGAGGATATATATCTCTTCTCCATTAGCATAAGTCTCAGAGCACTAGGCCAGCAGCAACCTGTGCTTTGACCACCAGACCACCTACTATATATTTTTAAAATATTTAAACATTTAAATTATGTCACAATATGGCATCACTACAATTTTGAGAGAGAAAACTCTAGGTCTGTTTATTATGCTTTGATGACCTCTATTGTTAATAGTAATTCAAATTATGTGCCCTGTTTCAATCGGCTCTCATAGTAATCAAGCACATGGGTATCGTTATTCCATTTTACCAATAATGATACTAAGACTCAGGATCATCCAGCTAGTAAAGCAGCAGAACCAGGATTTGAACCCTGTCTGCTACATACTCCAAAGCGCTGGCTTATCTATTACCAAGATGCTTTAATTCAACTAGTGGTTTCAGTGCCCCGTGGACAGAGTGTCTCTATTTGAAAAGTACACCTAATCTTCATATAGAAAAAACTGTATAATGAAAATCACACAGGCTTAGAACCAGAACTGGTCCATATCTATTAGGATGTACCATATAATATTACTATATTTGCAAATAAAAATAAGTCACTTTCAGCAATTTCATTTGGTTCAGTCATTTGGTTCTAAGTGAAATAAGGTTACAATAGGCTCTGGATTATGAAATTAATAGGAAATTCCCCAGTGTCATCAAGAAAATGTTTTTATGTTCCTGGGGACTCGCTTTAATGAGAAATGTACTAGTGTTTATATAATAAACCTGTCTGAGTTTCTGGAGCCGGGGGCAACTATTAATTATATTTAAAAATCTGAATAAAAGCAAGTTTGTTGTATTCAACACAGAATCCCAAAAGTAATTAAAGCTTCCCTGTCCTGCAGCTGAAAGAGGTCACTGTACTTGTACCTTCTTGTGGTTTCTGCAAGGAAGCCAAGAGCAGAGCTGCTGCTTCTGGAAGAGTTAGTACTTGGGGATTTGGGCTGCGTCTCTCTGGAGAAACAAAAGTATATACAGATTCTATTAGCATTCTAATATTCCTGTTCCGATATGCTGTAAATAGAAAAACCTTTATGAAATAGATTTTTGATCCCTTAGCAAATCACCCCCCCAACACACACACACAAGACTGATTTTCAGGAATTTAAACATTTTATAATTCCCGTGGATGTTACTTACAATTGGTTACGGTGTGTATTACAGGTATGGAAGAGATTTTAAACTCTACAGAGAATTTCACAAAAGGAGGGTAAATTAAGGTAAAGAACTCCGAATAATTTCACCCTTCAGAGCTTAAAATTGGATGTCTGGGCAGAAACATTGAGATGTAATGGATACCCCTGGGAGCCTGGGCTACTTCCTCTTTCATTCCGTCCAAAGCTGTTTGAAATAATAATTTACATGCCTGGCCACGCGTAAGGCACATAACAGTCCCTGGCCCTATTCTTAATGGCCCCTACCTGTTAACAATTTCTGGTTTTTAACTGCTTTATAGCCCTTCTAGTAATGTAATAGGGGCATACATTTGAAGTTTCCAGGTAAATCACTACTTTAATAACAACAAAAACATTTAAGAGGAAACCGTTTAAAGGTTTTGGCATAAACGGGGAGGTACATTTTAGGGGCAGTTGTACCGTTCTCGCTCGCCCTCCTTTACTCCTGGAAGGCGAACCCCCAGGCCTGGCCTGTCCCTGGATAACTCCCCCGGGACCTCCGCACACCCGGAGGCCAGAGGGCGGTCAAACAGCGGAGACCGAGTTGTTTATCTTCGGGAACCTCAGCTCCAGCCTCAGCCGCCCAATAGTGCAGGGAGCCGCGGCCGCCAGCTTAAGCTCGGCCCTGGCTGACTCTCTCCCAGGGCGTCCCTGGAGTTGCGTCCCTCCCGGAGGGGAGCCGCTGTCTTGGGACGCGCGCCCCGCCCGCTGGGTCCTGCTGTGAGTCGCCGCACGGGCCTCCTCCTCCCTCGCTCACTCACCCGGCGGCGGCCGGTCGGAGAGGTCCTTCTTCCGGCTCTGGTCCGAGATGAAGAGACGCCCCTCTGCAAAGGCGAGACGCGGGGCTCAGCGGCTGCCAGGTGCTCAACGATCCTGGTTTAACCTGGGCTCCGCGCCACGAGTCCCCAGGCCTGGAGGGGTGGGGCAGCGGAATAGGAGGCAGCGGCGGCCGGGGTCCGGGTTGCACTGCCAGATTTCCGGCGCTGGGAGTGCAACCCCGGGCTGGACCAAGCGCCCTGCCCGCGCCCTACCCCTGCGCTGCCCGAGCCTTGTCCCCCACCCCTGAGCTGCCCGCGCCCTGCCGAGTCCTGCTCGCGCCCTGCCTGCACCTGCTGCACCCTGCCCGCGTCCTGCTCGCGCCCTGCCCGCCACGCGGAATGGGCTTTGGAGCAGTGGTCGGGTTCAAGGGTCCTTGCGGTGTTTCCCAGGCTACTCCGGAGTCTTCCTGTGCGTCAAGAGCCAGCAACCCTCCAGTTCAGAATGGAAAGGTTCTAATAATCAGGGAGTCTTTCTCTTCTACTGCCAGACCCCCCACCCCTTTTCTTTGACGGAGACCAGGCTGACCTCGATTATTTAAGGGAACACACTCAATATTATTCTCTTCCCACACATCTATCCCATGGATTCATGCACCCCGAAAGATCCTCTTTATTGCTGTAGGAAGAGCAAAGTATTTGGAACATACGTGCACCCTTCAGATAGAGCATAGATTGAGGAGTCCAGTTCCTTCTCTCGAGTCCCTACAACCCAGGGAAAAGAGAAGAGCAGTTAGTAAGACGTTGTAGCTCAGTCCTCTGTTAGAAAAAAGAAAGGAAGAGAGGGAGGGAGGGAGAAGAAAGAGAAGAAACAAAAGGAAGGAAGGAAAGGAAAGGAAGGAAAGGAAGGAAAAGAAAGAATATCCAGGAGCCCCCGTTTTTGCGTTTGATTACCTGTGGTGCACTGCTCGAATTTCCTAAGAAAGAAAACACTAGAAAAAGAGCCAAGGTTGTTGCCACCAGACTTCTGAGTCCCTACAAGAGAAGATCAAAGAAAGTAATTTCAGTGCCTGTAGGATCTTCTACTTCGTGACACCTGGACAATTACAAATTTCTTAACTTTTCAGTATGCTCTGTTTTAATAATACTTAGTATGTGGGGGAGAGGGGGATTCCCGAGGCTATCTTCTAGTTAATCCACAAAAGAGTTCTCTTCTTAAAAAAAAATTTAGAAGTATGTTACTTTCATTACCTCACCCAAAATGAGTGATTTTTTTGTAGCAAAATCAAATGATTCTGATATTTTAAGGCATATCGTTTAAATATCCTTTAGCCTATAAAATGCTTATTAAAGGTAAAATAGGTAAAAAGCTATAAAGCTTTTTATAAATAGCTTAAAAGTCTCGAGTAAATAAAACTTTTACTTACCTTCATGTTCAGCTCCTTTCCAGAACCTGCGATAACTGTAACTTTACCCGTCAGTTTTCTAATCTTGTTCTGAGAGTGGGGCTTTTAAATCTTAGTGTCAAGGACCCCCCCTGATCTTCAGTAGAGTTAGGGAGTCCATAGGGACTTCTTGTCAGTATTCAAGATTGAGAGGATCTGACAATTTTTCCAGGGAGATTTGTTCGCAGGAAGTAAAGAAATGATTGATGAGTGGGCATCACTTATTTAGATACTGACCACATCAGCCAGGAGATATTCTGAATATATCAGCATCATTGTTTTTGCTTTTCCCACTAGCTTCCCAAAGTATTTATTATTAGTAGTAGAGAAAATGATTAAAAAGCCCAGGCTGAATCAAAAGTAAATGAATAAATAAGCGAACTTGTCTTGGGTAGCTAGTTAACAAGCTATCACTGATGACTAAACATGAATCATTTGGGTAGAAATAAAAATGTTAGGGAATCTCAATGGTATTCAACATCACTCGTTCACTTATGTATCCATTCAATTATTTAACAAACATTTATTGAATGCCTACTATGTATCAGACATTTCTCTTTCTAGTTCAAGGGACACAGCCATGCATTAAAAAGACACGGTCTTTGCTGTGATCAAGCTTATCTTCTAGTCAGGGGAGAAATTCTGTAAACTAGTCAACAGGTAAATTAGGTAATTTTAAAATGTTTTAAATGCTTTATAAAGTAAAAATAAGCGAGGTGATGTGATAAGTGGTGGGTTACTTTAGGGAAGGCAGCAATTGAGGGGGTTCTGGAAAGATCAGGTAGGGTCAGACATGAGATGAATCAAGAGTGAGAATTAGTGAAACAGGCAGAAGAAAGAAAAACAAAATCTTGGGATGGCAAAGAGCTTGGCTCGTTTGAGGAATAGGGAGACCAATGAGGCCAAACTGAGTGGTCATGGGGTGATAAGGGAGAGTACTTTGAAATGAGGTCAGAGAGGAAGAAATGGTTCCTATGGAAATATGGTCATAAGCAAAAGACGATGATGGCTTAGACTTGGGTGGGACTTGCAGGGAATGGAGAGCTGTAAATGAATTTGGGATATTTGTTGGAGGTAGAAAATTCAGAACCTGTGGATAAATGGGATATGAGCGTATAAGAAAAACAAATCAAGGATGAGTCTTGGGCTTGTGGCTTAAACACTGGGTATGATAAAGCCATTTATTGGAATTGGGAGACCAGTTTAGAGAGGGAAATTAAATTTCAATATTAAGATTAAAATATACATTTAGGATCTAAGTTGAAGTGTGAACTAGGCAGTTGGAAATGCAAAACTCTATACAGCTCAGCAAAGAGGTCACCAGCCTACAGATTTTTTCTAAGGGCAGAAATGGTCAAATTTAAGAATTGTAAGAATTTTAAGGCAGGAGAGGGATTAAACGAGAACACTTTGAGAGTGAATGGAATTAAAGAAGAGAAGCAGGCACAGAGCTATGAAAACAAACATGCAGAAATGAGCAAAGGGAGAACCAGCAAAGCAAGTTGAGGTGAAGATACCAGAAAGAAAAGAGAAATTCCTGGAGACCATGAGGCTGTGGAAGCCAGCAGAATATCCAACAACGTTGAGAGGTCATGGTAGATGAGCACCAGCAAGTGTGCACTGGATTTGGAAATACGATGGTTTTTGAGGACATAAGCTAGATTGGAGTGGGTTGAAAGTGAATAGGATATGAGGAAATAAAGACAAGTGCAGTTAGCATTTTTAAGTTAGCTTCACTACATTTCACTAAAAGGGGGCAAGGAAAAATCAAAAAAAAATTTTTTTAAAGATTAGATGCTTGAGTGTGGTGGAAGTGTGCTATTATTTTTTGGCCTTTCAGTAACATCTGAACCCTTTCATTTTTAGGGAATTCCTAAAATTCCCTAAATTATGAATTATGGCATTATGAATCTTGGTGGGAGGCAAAGGCTTCCTTCTACTCTACAAGGTGAAAATGTCAGTCACTCATTTTCCCAGCCTCCCTATCAGGTAGGATGTGGGCACATGACACAGGTTTCACCAATCAGACCCACTTGGATGGGAAATCTGGAGCTAGGATGGAGGAAAGTCGGAATCAGGAGAGACATTTTCTGGTGCAGCAGTGGTTATAGTAGGTTTGAGTTTGCAGGGGCAATACTGCCTGCAGTGCTCATGTCAGATTCCAGGATGGGGACACCCCCGGCAGTGTCCTGCTAAAATCAGGTTTGTTGGTTTCTCCTGATGCCAACTAACAAACCATTTGCAGAACACATATGCTGATGGAGATGATCAGGAGGAGACATTGATGATGCTGAAGAGAAAGTAACTGCTTTAAAGGAATGTGTAGAAGGCAAGAGGGAAACTGTGTCAATATCGAGGGGAAACAATTACATACATAGGCAGATACTGAACAAGGACCCAAGTACCCACCATAGGCTAAGGTAAGGTAAGAAAGAGAATCTCTTTGCTCTAAAAGTTAGAGTAGTGCTCCTTAGGAATTAATATGCATGTGAATCATCTGGGAACCTTGTAAAGATGCAGATTCTGATTTAGTACAGGTGGGGTGAGATCTGAACTTCTGCATGTCTTTTTTTTTTTTTTTTAAGGTTTTATTTATTTGAGAGAGAGCATGAGCAGGTGGGAGGGGCAGAAGGAGAGGGAGCAGTAGGCTCCCCGCTGAGCAGGGAGCCTGACTGTGGGACTCCTTCCCAGGACCCTGGGATCATGACCTGAGCCTAAGGTAGGCACTTAACCGACTGAATCACTAAATTCTGCATTTCTAATAAACTCCCAGGTGACGCTGATGGATGTTACTCCACTGATCCTAGGACATTTTGAGTAGTAAAGCTTTGGAGGATATAAGCGATAAAAATGACACTAAAAAAAAAAAGAAGATAGTAGGAAGGGAGAAATGAAGGGGGGGGAATTGGAGGGGGAGACGAACCATGAGAGACTATGGACTCTGAGAAACAAACTGAGGGCTCTAGAGGGGAGGGGGGTGGGGGGATGGGTTAGCCTGGTGATGGGTATTAAAGAGGGCATGTACTGCATGGAGCACTGGGTGTTATGCACAAACAATGAATCATGGAACACTACATCAAAAACTAATGATGTGATGTATGGTGATTAACATAACATAATAAAATAAAATTAAAAATGAAACTGGAGTCTGTATGGCTGGGAGAATGGTTAGCCATAGAAATATCAAGGAGTATGGGGAGAGAACAGATAAATTTGATTAAGGATTGAAGTTTGAGGGCTGATGAGATCTATCTGCAAATACTTGTGTAAGAGTGGGATTTGGGCGCTTGATATTTATAGACTTGCCAGCCTGTAAAGACATGACGTTTGGTTAGTAAATGAGAATGGAATATAGAAAGCTGTCTGTAGGTAGAAATTTGTGGAATATTTACTCCTTTTAAAGTATAAGTCAAGCAAGAAGGAGCCAAAACCGTTACTGTAGTGTTTCTCACAATGTTAGAAGGGAAAGAATAAAAACTAAGGACTAGTAAATTAACACCAAAACTGGATAAAATCTTAATATTTCTTTTAGACTTCAGGATTTTAGGATTTAATTTCAAGGGATTATAGCAACCTCCAAAAAAGGGCAATTAAAGAAATAAAATTATACATGTGTTTGTTTCAAATGAACTCATAAGTGAAACCCAATTGCTAGGTAACCTAACAAGCAAAATGCCTATTTCCCACTCTCCATACCAAAAACACATAAACATTTTAGAAAGAGGGACAGGAAAATGATTCACCGATAAAACTGTGTCTTGAATTTACAATTTTAAGGAAAAAGGTATGATGCAGTTTGTTTATAAAAGTTTAGCTAATGAATTCACAAGCAGATGCTTTACGTCAAAGCTGCCATTTTCAGCATAATACGTATAAATGAGAATGGTTTTGACAGATTATCAATATTGTAGTCTTATCAGAAGCAACATACTAGAATGCATTTGTCTAAAATGGCATTGCCTCTTAATACGATTTTGTTAAATCATAACACTTCGGGACTTTTACAGGTCCAAACTTAGAGATGGGCTAAGAAGTTATTTGATGAAAGCACTTGACAGATAAAACCATTGAATTTTGTTCTGCTGACATTATGACCAGGCAATGGGCATTGGACAAATTAAGATAAACCTTTTTTTAAAGGCATATTCAATGGAGACCATTTTGCCCGTATCACTGACGTTACCTGATTTCTTCCAGTTGACTGGATCATGCCCAGGTCCATGTATACAATAATGGTCACTGTTTAAATTGTATTTTACAAGGTTAGTGATTATTGTGTTTACATAGAAACTTGGGTAGTTACCTGGATAACATGGCTGTTATGATAATAAAAGATCCAAATTACTTCTTTGATGACAGAATAGAGGATTTTGGTATAACATGAATGAGGTCATTGGTTCATTCTCCTACTTTGGCTTTATTCAGTACCAGGGCCGGTCTACCCTATAGGCCGGCTGTCTCACAAACAGAAGTCATTTCCTCAAAGGGCTACCAGTCAGATTCAGAGGCACAGAAAAGGCCTGCTCTCCAAAATAAAACTCCCCATTCACTGGTCAACATCTACTGTCTTCCTTTTACTGAAGGCGTTGAACCTTGAGAACCTCTTTTCCATAATCAAATAACAAAAACAAGTGGAAAGTTCTATGAGAGGACAAGGATGGACCAGCTGTTTTGCTATAGTGGGTCAAGAAAGATATGACAGAGGTGAACTTTTGATTAGGTCTTGAGAGCTAGTAGAGGTAAGGTTGGGGAAAAGCGTGCCAGTTGTTGGATTTGGGGCATCCTACTTGTGTCCTACCTGCTACATGGGGTACAGGTAGCAGAAGGGTAGAGGTTGGAACCTTTCAGCACAGACAAGGTTAGAAAGACTTAAGACTTCTGGTTCACCAGACAATAGTCAAGACCTGCAGTTCAAGTATTGGATTCAACAAATACTTATTGGGTACTTTAAGTGGTAGACATGGCCAGTGATTTTTAGCCTTACCAAAACTTATAATCAAAATGCTGAAGTGGTTTTGTCTGTCACAAATACTTATTTTATTATTCTTTTCATTATTATTATTATTAATTTTATTATGTTCAGTTAGCCAATTCTTTTCATTTTGAGAAAATTTAAATATTTCTCCACTATTTTCTAAATTCACTGCACACTTTTTTACCTGAAGTCCATTTCTATTTATGATTACATTTAAACAATTTGGAAATGGAAAATGTGATGACCATTTTATAAAAAAAGGAAAACTGCATAGAAGGCTAATTTAAAAAAAAAGTGAGTTATTGTGCAACGCTAAATTAATTTTTAGAATTTCATTATAAAGATACATTGGACCATGGTTAAGGACTGAATATGTATCTTCCCCAAATTCATATGTTGAAACCCTCACCACCAATATGACAGTATTGGGAGGTGGGGTTTTGGGGAAGCATGATGGGATTGGTGTCCTTATAAGATGAAGAGACTAAAGCTCTCTCTGCTGTATGAAGATGCAGCAAGAAGGCAGTTCTGCAAGCCGCAGAGGGTCCTCACCAATAACTGAATCTACCCTCACCTTCTTTTTGGACTTCTCCACATCCACAACTGAGAAATAAGTGTCTATTTAAGCTGCCCAGTCTACAGAATTTTGTTATAGCAGCCCGAGCTAAGACAACCACCAATTAATAAAAAGTACCCTTTTATTGAGAGGTAAGACAAGTGTATTTACAATATTCAATTGCTAGATCATATAATCTGACTGTGAGACTTTTTAAAGCAGCAGTATTCCAGAAATTACAATTTATAAGGGGAAAAGAAAAACATTGCAAGTATGTTTCTGTTACAGAAAATACATTTGAATAATGCCAGGTACACTTAAGGCTAAGTAGTATTAGACCTTTTTCTCCACCTTTATAGCAATAATCAAAGTACATTTTTGTCACAAAGACAGAGGCTAATTTTGGAAAGAAACAATATAATGTACAGTGCTTTCTGTCAGAAGACTAATATGTTTAAAAATACCTCATCAGTGGTTCTGAGAAGAAATATACAATGCTGCCAAGCAGTCCCAAACTCACATTTGAAATTAACTGTGGACTCTTTGAAAACTGAAAACTGCTCCAGCCTCTCAATCTTACTAAGGACTGGGAGATTATCAAATCCTTTACACAACTTCTAATAACGCTTCTGAAGTAAGATTTTGAAAAAGAGATCTGTTACAGTGCAAAGAACATTTTGATAGAAATTCATGTCTACAAAGGAGTTAAATAATACAGATGTTCCTTACATTAACAGATACAGTTCTTGTTCTAAAAAGATAGAATTATCTAGCCACTGAAAATAATATGGATCAGTCAAAAATATGTATAAGAGTCCTACAGGGCAACTTGTATAAGTTGATCCCCAAAATATGTATATATTTGACACTCTCCAAATGAGGATATTACTTTTTTGAAGAACATTAGACACAACACTAGGTCTCTTATTATTCCATGAACTATTGAGGTAGGAGTCTCATTTTGTCAATATCATCTAGTTTCACAGATTATGTCATAAGTCAAATGCCAGTACCAAAAGACAGTAATCCACAAGACTGAACCATTAAACTATATACCAAGTCTTTCCTTCTTTAGACAAGCAAGGATGGGAGTTCTCTGTGCGTTGAGATTTAACTAAAAATAACATAAGCTGTGATATATTTTGTAGACATGTTTGTAAATAAAAATCACAAATTTCAGTTATGATTTTGTGCATTAAAAAGCTCTGCAACTGTTGTAAAAAAAAGTAAATAGTGCAATCATTAGTGGTAAAACAAATAGTACTATGGCTGTTGAAATGTGTTCTTACCTCTACCAAAAAAGCTGCCACCTTGGAAAACTACTAATGAAGAAACGGCCACTGTTTCTTTCTGCCAGTCAAGCATCAATGGTAGAAAAAAACAACATATTTTTTTAGTGTCATGTTTTTAAGAAACTATAGCCCATTTAATTACAGTAAACTACCTTTAGCATGTAAATTCAGATATTTTCTCCATGAACTCAAGACGAAGAGTGATCTTATGAAGCGTTCATTATGCATATTGATTTTTATGTTAGGAAAAAGCTAAAAATAAGGGAAAACTCAGCTTTACATGAAAAGCCCTTAACAAATATAAGTTTAACCTTTTAACATGTTACATTTCAAACATTATCAATAGTTATTTAATTTATGAAAAGCAAAATGATAAAATCACTACTAAAATTAAAAAAAAAAAGAAAAACTACACCACGACGGAAAAATCCATTTGGTTTGCATCGTTTGGTATCTTAAATAAAAGACTATTCAATGAAACAAGGCATGTAACAGACTACTTCATGGTTTTTGTTAGATGCTTACATATAACAAAGGATACAGATAATTAGGTCAGATTCTCAAGAAGTATGAGTAGTTCCATAGTGTTTAGTTATAAAGAATGACCTTTGCATATTCTGACAGTGAATATCTAGTTCAGATTTTCATCTGGCTTTAAAATATTAAGAATCAGAAGAACCACAAATGTTTTATTTTAACCATATGTTTACAAAAAAAATGTGATTCATACATCAAAACTGGGTTTTCCTTGGTTTTAATACATTAAATGACATAATCCAATCTAACTCAGGCATCACTTTCAGACACACAGTGCAACTGGAAATACTTTTGCCATTCCAGTGGATATTTCTAAAAAACAAATACCTACAGGTGCTCTTGCGCCTTCAAAATAAGAAGAAAAGGAACAGGCCCCACAGTTCTCCAAGGATGGCTGTGTTTTGCACATTGTGGATAAACAATAAAAATCGCCTTCAAGAGTTTCAGTAAGTATTGTAACATAGATTCATCTCCTTTAGTTTGCTTGCTGACTTCTTAGATCACTTGATTAGAAGCCTGTTCTCATTGCCTCTTTGTTAACTGCTATTGGTACTTTGTAGACTATACGTTTTAAACTTCTGTAAAGAACATTACAAGCTATTTCATGTAATTTAATTTTGTGCTGAATATTCTTCAAAGGATTTTATAAATAATACAATATTTTAAATGAGTCTTCAATTCACTTGTTGTTATACCATATTGTTGCTTTCTCCAACTTTATCTACAAACTGCAAGGAGAAGAAAAACAGGTAATTAGAAGAAAGCCCAGAGCATTATAAAAACATTGTATCAACATTTTAAGTGTTGATTAAAAAACCCAGCTTTATAAGATTCGTGGAAGTTTAAGGTGTGACTGACAATGGTTAATCCAGTCCTACTCACCCACAATCTCCTAACACGTAAATGTGTATAAAAAAATTTTCTTTGCTAAGGTTGTTTTTGCGTGACAGGTTATGCATATGACTTTAAGGGTGCAACACGAGAAATGCAACACGATGAATAAAACAATTGGATAAAATGAAGTTAACACTGCTAGCTTAACAAAAAATAAATAAATAAATAAATAAAAAGCTGAAATGTCAGCCATTCATGCATCAATGAACCCAATAAGGTATTTCAACTGACCATTACTGAGGATCTCTTCTGGGCCTATGTAGTCTTTGAACAAACAGATTGAACTCCATTAAGTTCAGTAATTAACAACAGCTATTGACTAAAAATACTTTAAATGTGTATTCTGGACTTCAGACTAAAGTGGCATGGGCATTAAAAATAGATGTAATGAGGCGAGCATAAATTTATAGGTACTGAATATTAATTTTCACACACGTTAATGTAACTTGTTATTTACTTTGGCTAGTCTACCCCAAATGTAAAGCAATTGGGCCTTCTTCAGCATTCCAGATGGTGATGCAAATATTGAAACAAAATCATCAGTGGAGATATATTAAAAGTTATGTAACCCAAGTGGTCATAATACTATCAAAATCTAGCAATCATTTAACCCTTCCTTTCATTTCACTACTCACATTTTCACTGAACCATTTATTATAATGAAGTAATAATCATAGGAAACATAATTTACAGCACTGGGTGTCCACTTATGCAAATACTGAAGAATCCTTAAATTAAGGATGTGAATAATGATTACACAACTGTATAACTAGAAGTTTTGATAAATTCAAAAGCCATTCTAGGTAATAACAACATTGACTACAGTATGAGTTTGGAGATTAATGTAAATGAAATCTGAACATAACCCCCTATAAGCCCACATTCCAACATTTTATATTATTATAAATAGGTGATTGGCATGCCAAAACTAAAAGCTGCTTTGAAAGTACCATAGACTCATTAGGATTTTAAGGTAAAT